CTCTCTCTCTCTCTCTCTCTCTCTCTCTCTCTCTCTCTCTCTCTCTCTCTCTCTCTCTCTCTCTCTCTTTCATACAGGTCTGAGTGATATTCATTACAGCGGTCCGGATTTAGAAGATGTACGTGAAAGTGTTCGCAACGGGGTTACAAAGGTTGCTGGGCGTTTGAGCTCAACTTTCAGCGGTATGATGTCTTCATTGCAAGACAAATATGGCGGTTAATTGGCAACAACCGATGAATTATACCTAGTATAGTGATATGGATTTTAGCAAGAAATGAATTATAGTTTTTCAGCGATAGGAGTGACATAAACACAACAAATATCAACGACGAACATAATCTAAGGCAAATCTATACTTCATTTTTTCCCCACTCACAATCATTCTATACTACAAAATCTTTTCGGAATTATTGTTTTCAATTTTGGAAAATGTTGTTTTTGTTCCTTTTTCTTCCTCCTTCCCTTTTGATAATTTTTCCAAAATTTAAATTTAGAAGAGATTGATATATATACATACAGGGCGGACCAAAATAACTGTCGGTTTTATTTTTGGTTTATGGAATTTACATTTTTTAAACATAATTGAGTTTGGTAGATGCTATAGCAATATATAAAATTCAATGCAAAAACGTATTTAAATAGTCAGTCAAAAAGATGGTAAAAATTCTGACCACATCCACCAAATACAAAAATAAGTAATTGATTATATTGAAAAATGTGTGGTTTACATTTGAAAAGAAAAACTCACACTTGTTCTGGCCCACCCTGTATAAAACTCCAAGCTAATTTCAATGAATAAAATGAAGAAGTCAACGAAGCAAACAAATGCGCATTTTGGTTTTGATCTCCCATCATACATACTGACAGTTATGTGGAATTTATTTTCTCTACTCGGCTATAAACTGAGATTGAACTAACTGGCGAAGGAGAAAATGGTTAAAAATAACCGACACCATCTCGTATTTTTCGAAAATTCTGTGTTCACCAACGATAATGCGCAGTTTTTATCGCAGTCGAAAAAAAAAGGATTGAGACGTGGAGTGAAAAGAGAAAAAAAAACTCAAAAAGAAGCCAATTTAAGGCAATAAAATATTAATATGTGCTATTTTGATTAATAAAAGTGAAGCAGGAAAAAGGTTTCAGCTCAATCTAACGACAACAACATATTAACTCAATCAAAAAAGAAAGAAAGGAAACTTACACTTATCTTGCAAGCAACCTATTGGTAAGCATTTTGCAGCGAAAATATAAATTGCAAATACGAATACATTTCATAGCAAGCAGTGTGTTTTTTTTGTCGATTAGCGATGAGTTTGCTTTTGTCCCCGTGTGTTTCGCATTCTGTTTTTTTTATTTTTTTATTTTTTCATTTTTTCAAAAACACAGTTTGCTGTTATCGTCAAGGACAACGACGACAACAACGACTGCAAAAAAGACAATGCATGTTGGAAATTTTCAAAAATATTATCTATACGAACAAACAAGCACGCTCTTATACACATATATCTTATTGTATAGAACGTGTCGATTAAATTCAATTGAACTTTCCTCATTGGGTAATTGCTCTACGCTCGACTTTAGTATTATTATTATCATCATAAGTGTGCATGTTCTGCCACTTATATACTTTCTTGGCTATTTTTTTTCGATTTTAGCGAATGTCTCTTTCCCGCTACCGCAGTACACGACGATGTATGATTGAAATTTAAGAAAATTTCTTCGCAATTTCTTCGCAGACATTTGTGATCGAGTTCAATGTTTCGCTCAATTAAAGGGCGTGCAAAAAAAAAAATGTTCCTGATTAAAATTACCTTGAGTCGGCATTTTTATTTTTTCTTTGTTTTCATTTCAAATGACACTTTAATCAACTACAGATTGGCTAATTGTTCGAAAATCTGTTTTTTTTTTTTTTCATCGAGCTGAAATATCAATTCAGAAAAAATATTCCTACACAAGATATCGATGATCTAATGAGAATTGAGGATTACACACACATTATCACAAAGGGAAAAAGACCGCCGAATCAATTTAGAGCGAATTTTCGATTCCATAATGTTTGCGAGAAGAATCGAAAGAAGCGTATGAAATATATACATTGTATGTTATAAGCAAATTAGGTCAAAGAAGCGATAAAATGAACGCTACTTCTGAATTGCGACGTCAAAAGCATCATGATTTGGTGCGGTTTTTATTTTTACAAAATACATTATGCCGAAGTTTTAGAAGGCACTACCAACAGTAGTTATCATGATGGATAGGTATTGAATTAATAATCTTTGTCTGGTTTATGTTTTTTTCTGCATAATTTATCGTATCATTATTAAGAACGTTGATTCTTGTCCGTTACGGTTGCTTTTTCAATTCGCCTTCTGAAAAACAGAGATTAAATTCGCGTACCTTTCACTTGGAATTAGCATATGATCAGTTATTTGGGATAAGACACATATTGTGCAGAGAAACCTGTATATTTTTGAGCAATTGCAATGCTCGTATTGTATCACGATAATTGTTCATAAAATGGCAAAAGGAAGAAATTCTCCATTACTCATATCCACCCTACGAATATTCATGCAATCAGAAGAATGGTAATAAGGAAAAAAAAATTGTTAATGAAAGTCGAAACCAGTTCCCGTTGTCGTTGTTGTTGTTGCCGCGCCATCGCTGCTATTACTGTTTTTTTTTTTATTGTTGTTTTTTCGTTTTTAAATGGGAATCGATGTCGAACAACTTTAAAATATGCGTCGGTTGATTATGCTTTTTTCATCTTGTGTCCATAGAAGTATATCAGGTATCGGTGGTGCGATAGCTGCAGAGCATGTTATGATCTGATGTCAGCAACACTAACTGACTTCAGTTGCTGAGCTCAGCTACTGACGAGTATGTGTTGCGTTGTTTTAATGCATTTGCAGTTTAAAAATGTGGAAGTCAATGGCTCGGATAAGATGACACCTTGTTCGATTCCATATTTTTATACTGCAAATGCATTAAAAAAAAAACGCAACGCATACTCATCAGCAGCTGAGCTCAGCAACTGATATCAGCTCATAACACACTCTGGATAGTTGTGTTGAAAGCACATTTTGATGATTGCTTTGTCATTCAAGTTTGCACTAAATCCACACAACCATAACATATTGCCATGATATTATATGTATATATATATATATATATAATTTGTCTCCAAATCTCCAAGTCCATTGAGCGGCTTTTTTCTGTTTTGACATCCAGTTCTCGGATTTTTCTGTGTTCAAACGCAATTAGTGTTTGGTTGCCATCCGCTGGACGAAGACAAGTTTTCGATAATAATTTGATTAAACAGAAACCGCCAGAGCTGGTTTATTGATTTTTATGAGTTGAAATTGTTTTGTGTGATCAAAATTCCAGGTAAATGTATGAATGTTTGGGCATTTTTCGTTGTTCAGATGTTGTCAAACAAATATGGTGATTGGCTCCACAAGTCAATGTTATAAAAGTTTTGTTCAATAGCCAACGCAATGGATTTTGAACGTAGTCATCGTCCGTTTCATTCCATTCAAGTCTGTTTGATAGTTTAAAATTTGGGTTTGTCAATAGGTAAAGGGCTTGAAACAAAAATCCATATAAATAATGCGCTTCACTTCGAGTTGGCTGTGTATAGCTATTCTATTGACCATCTCAGTTCAAAGTCAAGCGCAACGCAATGATGCTGCTAACAATCAAATCAACAATAAGCCAGCACCAAATAGCCGTAAGTAGTTATTTCAGTTGTTTTGTTTCAATCTATTTAAATGTTTGAAAAAAAAAAACCGTTTATATTTCACACTGAACACATGTGTACATATATCAGAAGCGGGTGTGATATTAATAACTTTTCAAGTGTCTTTATTACAAATAAAATCGTCTTATTTTGCGACCAAATAACGCAGTCAATGCGATTAGTTCAAAGTCCATTTGTTGCACTGCATGGTCGGCGATTACGTTTGAGATACGGTATTCGCCTGTTGAGATCCATAAAAAATGTGCTTTTGGTCTATTTTCTCTTCTTCTTCTTTACTGAATGAAAGTGATTTGCCGTTTGTTATTTTGTCGGTGTTTGCAAATGCATTTGCGCTTCACGTGGTACTTGTTTTTTAACTATCCAGTTTTTCTGTGGACTTTTAGTGTCGTCTTTAGTTTATTTATTAAATTCGTTGTTTATTTGTTAAATTTTTTTGAAATTGTAAGGTTAAACATACTGCGCAGTACAAACATACTTGTTCATTCGATTGATTGTTCGGCGTAATGCGGAAAGAGTTCGATTTTAAATTGCATTTTAGCTTTTACTTTCCCAACACTCGCAAACGAAAGCAGAAAAACGGTTCTCACTAATGCTGCTGTTGTTGCCGTTATTGTTGTCGCCTGATTGACATGACTCACACAGAAGGAGAGAAGCATCTGAATACAAATTTGCCGCTCGAAATGAACACATCTCAAACACCACACGTTTAATAAAATGGACAGAAATTTGAAATAACTTGTGACGCTGTAAATATTTTGGCTGAGGTGCCAATTCTGTTATTCGTCTCTTCTTTATTCGCTGTGATTCTTGAAAAAAGTTATCGCACGTGTTTTTCCCCTGATCGTTCTGTAAATAAACGGCTTCAGTTGGCAAAAAAAAGGTTCAAACAAACACCACCTCCGACGTTAATCAGCTGTACTAACGTCAAATGGCAAAATTTCGCCCAAAAAAAACTTCAAATTAGTTTCGAATCCAGCAAATATACAAATTCTACTGGTTTCAACTCTTTTCTACTGCTAAACGAATCTTTCAAAATGAAAATCTTGTGGGAGGGGGTGAAAAAAAAAACAATCAAGGTTTCTTTTTCTCTGGGTACGATAATAAATCATGTTGACGGAGCCTTTAATCAAATTCAACAATACATTTTTTTTACAAAAAACAAAACTTGATTTTTGTTCCAAATGTTAGCTAATGCAACCAAAATCATCGGCTATAATGAACATTTGAATAGAAAAAATCCCATGAAATCATCGAGTAACAGAAAAATCATAATGTAACAGTGGGTTTGTTTCGTTCTTTTTTTTTTTCATTTAACTTAATCTTAAATCTCTTTTTTACAATTAATAGGAATTTTCTCATTTTCATAACGTCGTCTTGTCGTAGAAAAACTATGAATCACAACAATTTAATTCGATTTCTTTTATTCGCAATTTAACGCTTATTATCATTTAAATATCTTACAATTTTGTTGCCTTTTGTTTACTTTTTTTACAATCTGATTTATAATATTCGTTGCGATTTAAAAAAAAAAAAACAACAACAACAACATCGATTTTGGTTGGTAGACATTTGTTGATGCGTGCATACTATATGCTCTTGCGGAAATGGATTTTCTTTGTTGATTTGCCTATGGACAGTCTTAAATGTTGAGACAACGCAATTTTTTGTCTGGCACACGTGAACTAAATTCAAATGTTGTCGGTCTTCGGATTTCCTCATGCGAATCACGTTCAATTCGTTCTGGTTGCCGACCCATCAGACTGTATACACAAATTTTTCGTTCGGCCAAAATATCTCGCACAATTTGTTCTAATTGGAATAAATGCTCGTCATCAACAACAACACCTTTTAGCTCTTCGCGCATAAAATTCGCGAGTCGAATTAAATATTCCACATTGTGTCCAGATGCTCCTTGACTGTCGGCAATTTCCTGAGCGATGATCGGTAACGGTGTGTCGCCCATCCAAAGGCTGTTCTTCTCGGTGGCAATATACAGAAGCGTTGGAAATGCTTCACCACATAATTCCATGTCATCGGCCGCAACCCTTGGATAAAATTTCGAATATAACGTTGTGTAGCCGCCGAGTGTGCATTCACGCTGTTTCAAGTAGTTAAGCGCCGTCGAACCCGTAATCTTATAGGCACAGCCCCATGTGATACCGTCGGTTTCTTTGACTAATGTTACAACACGGCCTGGTTTCTCTTTGGTGCCGCGATGCGTGGTGTTGCCTTGCCAAAAACGTCGAACATATCCACGAATATAACCGGTCACACATTTTGTGTATTCAAATCCTGGAAACCAACACAAAGATCCGTATCCAAAAACCCACAACTCAGACGTTGATTCATTTGAATCGCCACTGGCACTATCATCACTACCATTGCCTTCTTCTTCGTCTCGGATTTCATCATGATTTTGATCGACGTATAAACGAAAGCCGTTTACGTGTTGGTTTTGTTGTTGTCGTCGTCGATTGTGTAAACGTTCCTCCATGGTTAAACAGTGAATATTGCTGCAATTTGTTTAGGACTATCGGACTGTGTCGAATTCAAATGATAACAAGGTTTAATTGGGTGTCGTAAAAATTCACCGTACAGAACGCATACACTCTCTTTTTCTTGTCGATTCAACTTATTGACTGGTTATAGAATCAAATTCAAGATCGATGGAGTGAAAGTGATTTCATTATTTGTGCTATAATGTATATGAACTTGTTGTTTTATTTATTACTACTGCTGCTACTGTTGTAAATGAGAGTATGGTCCTGTACTTCTGGCGCATTTCACCGAAATTAACTAATACATTGCCAAAATTGTTTTGTGTTAATTCCCAGAAAAAAAAAAACTGTAACTGTCAGGAATCGATGTGAAATAAAATCTCGAAAATATATGTATAATTATGATGGTTCAATGTGAAAAAAAAAAAAATAAAAAAATAAAACAATTCCGAATGTCAGCAAAATCTTAGCAGTCCAGCAGCTCGAATGCCATTTACTGGCTCGCTTCAATAACACACAATTTCAAAAGTTCAACTAAGCCATTGGGAAAATCTGTTCGAAACAAAATGCAAAAGACGCGAAAAAGTTATTTTTGAAAAAAAAAAAAAACTTATCGTTACGGAAAATGACGAAAATTAACGAAAAAAAACGAAACGGATTTGAAAAATTTATACTTCTATTTAACAACATTTACTGAATTACCACATTGCTAGTGAGAGAGAATGAAAAAGGCGTCTGTATGTTAAATCTTTCCTTTGGTAAATGTGTGCGATATTCACAGTCAGAGAAAATAACATCATCAAACCCACGATGACTGACTATTGCTACGTACCGAATTACACACACTCACAACCAACTGACTCAAACATTCGCATTCAGACTCATTTTAGCAGAAAAAAGAAAAGAAACCGAGAAGTAACACCAACCAGCTGTAAATAAAAAGTTCGCATATGCGCATTGTGTACACGAATCGACTAACACAATCGCATAGCCCATCGGCCTGTCAACACTATTTTATGAATGATGGATTTTGTGACGTTTACGCTTCGCACATTATCTTACTGCTCGGCATATTTTTTTTTTTTTTTTTTTCATTGTAAAACAGACATGTTTTCACTAATATATTAAAATTTGTCTAATTACTTTTGAATATACTGCTCGTACGGCATCCAGAACGTCAGACTGTTATTCGGCCAGACAAAAATCCCTTTGAATTTAATGCAAGTCTCATATTTTGTTTACATTTAATTCATTCAGAATAGTTAATTCCATTCGTATATCGTTGTAAATGTGCTTGTAAATGATTCGTGTAGTAAGTATATGATAGACATCTTAATCAGTCACTCATATGATGAATCAAGTTTTATTGGGTTGTATTGGTTCGATTAAATTCTCAAATGTAAACGTTTCAAAATCGTCTAATTGTTGAACTTGGCACATATTTTCACAAATTCGTAATCGAATCATGTCCATTTGCTAGGATATATAGATGTACAGTTCAGGATTCGTACAAATACACGTCACAGAAACTATAGCAACCTCATGTTCAACAAATGATGATGCAATCTTTTGTTACAATGACATTTTGCATTGGCTCTATGCTGTATCTTGTTTACTAGTGTGCTGTGTAGTATAACACGTGCGTACTATATTCACCTTGTTCAGGGTGTTTGCTGCATGTATTTACCTCGCTCGGTGTTTAGCGAAACAATGAACAGGTGCAAGTGGAAAACGTACATTTAAATTTCAGCTGTTTCCGAGCTAAATATGAACAATTCCTTGAATTGTAAACAAATCCGGCAGAATGATGCTCTTTGTCTTGACAAGACAAAAATCGTTAACAACAAACGGAATAATTTAAGAATAAATGGTCTAAAGGCTATTCGAAGGGGAAGAAACACCTCTTTTTGTTTTTATTTTGAAAATATTTTAAATAATACGTTGGTATCGATGACACTATATCAATGTGATTGGTTCATTCACTGACTGCAATCAATTCAGACTAGACTATGTTCGATATTTAGGCGATCTGACGGTTAACCCATTGATAATAAATGCATGGATAAATTGGATCAAAGTCATTATGATATTCACTGAAAATAATATTAATTCACTGAAATGAGGTGTTTGTACATTTAGTCACCTGATACAGTCGTGATCGTATAGATTCGATAAAATTGAATCGAAGAGTACGATATAAGAGACATATTGATTGCGCTGGAATGAAGACATTGCAGCGTGTAATACCATTTAAATGACATTTTTTATATATATATATATATATAACCATGCGTAGCCGGATATAACAGTTTCATTAAATCGAAACACGTTTATGTTTCTCATTATATCCAATTAAAGAATGTATGTTATATAGATGTTATTGAATTGAACTTTCGAAATGGTTTGTGATGGAAATTGAGTGAGTTAGGTGGCAAATTCAATTCGGTTCCGAAATTATATTTGCGCATAATGTTCATGAACATAACTTAATAAAATGATTACTGTCACGTAATTTGATCGGTGGTGTAAAAATTTTGAATATCAGAGGAACATGGAAAAAAGTTATAATTCGTACGTTTTTGGAGGGTTACGTCAAATTTGAGAAAAAAAAAACAGTTTTTGATTTCAACACAACCATTTCGAAATCGTTTACTTTTGCAAATTTTCAATCGTTCTACAGCTAACTGGCTGGACAAACTGAAATTCGACAAATTATTACATTTAAAAATTTGATTGTTTTACGAGTTGCATTGTTCTAACCACCAAAATAACAACAACATCAATCTTTGATGGAATTGTTACTTTGCATTTTGCTGTATAATCAATTTTTTGAATTTCCATACAGAAGAAAACTTTGCTGAAGAAGTTATTGTGGAATCAAGTTTAACTGTTAATCCACAATCTCAAATCAAGTCCCGCAAGATTCGCGATGCGATCTATTACCTTGTATCAGATTCGTCATTGGTCAGGTAAACCCTTCAACTTATTTTCGGCAAAATGTTATTTCAAAGATAAATCTAAATAACTTCAGAGCTAAGCGTCAATTTGGTGGACCTGGATTTGGTGGATCTGGATTTGGTGGATCTGGATTTGGTGGACCTGGATTCCAACAACCAAATTACGACAGCTCTCAATCAACCGCTCAATCAAATTCGCATAGTCAGGGTGCTGGTCCCGCTGGTTTTGGGAATGCTAACGCTTTAGCTGGTGCACAAGGTAAGCTCTATTCACCAAAAGTTGAGAAAGGAATTCCACCCCAGAAAAAATCGCTTACAATCTTAATTTTCACAGCCTTTCAAACCAATGGTCCTACTGGTTCCTTCGGAGCAACAGCAACCAATGCACACACAGATACGTCAAACTCATCGCCATATGGTGGATTTTCGGTAAATTCGATCGATAATAATGAGTGTTTTGTCATATTGTCATCATTTTTAAATATTCCTTGATCATTAGGGAAGCAACGCGAATTCAGGTGGGCAGACGTATAATTTGCCGAATGGACAAACGTTGAGCATCAGCTACAACAACGGATTCAGTAATACAAACGGAAATCCAGCACATAGCCAAGGAAGCTCAGTAGCTTTCAGTGGTTGAAAAAAAAATCAATTGAATATACTTCCAAAATACCCAAATTGAAATTTGGAACAAAAAAGGAAAACCGAACAAATAAATTTTCACTAAAAAGTGAACAATTGAATAAATTTTGAATACTTAAACAATTTCAAGTCGAAACAATTTGTTTTGTTTTATCTGAGGAAGAACAATGTTTTATTTATGTTTCAGCTTTTCTCATCAACAGACAAGAACCAGAAAAATGGAGAAAAAATTTCCAAAAATGATTTTGCCAAAAATTTTCTACTTTTAGATTGATATCAGGTTAAAGATTGAAATGTTACCACATTTTGCGACACATTTCATTAATAATCTGAAAATAGTGAATTTCTGACATTTATTTAACAAATTTTTCGGCGAAATGTTTCCACTTTCATATAAAAAGAATTATCTCATTAGAATGCATTTTCTGTTTGGTTTTTGAATTAAATTGTTCTCTCCTTCTTTTGATTGACTTTGTCGAGAATAAAAGTATTTCTCGTCTTCTAGCCACATAACATATATTTTGGCTCTTTATGATATTTTTTTCGTTTCTTTTTTATCCTTAATATTTTTCTCTTTTTTACTATTTGTGTCTGTTCTGTGTCTGTGTCAAATTCTTTGTAGAAAAAATAAATTGCGTTTTATCTCGAGCTATCGGGAGCCCATTGAATAAATAATAAAATAGTGTGGAAAATTTATTTTTTTTTTTCTGTTTATTCTTAATAGTGACAATATCGTTGTTGCCCGTTATTCTTCCATTCCGTTCATTATTACCAAATACATAAAAAATTACAATACATTCATATATATAAAAACTGATTCAATGTGATAAATAGTTTCCTTTAATTTTGCTCTTGGTGTCTCGCTTCTGTCTTTCGTATTCAAATTCCTTTATGTTCCCAATAAAATGAGTGGCCGATGGTTGTGGTTGTGGTTGTTGTTGTTTTTTACTTGTTTCAATAATGCACGCAGGGTGTTTGCTTCTTAAGTTTTGAGTTTGAGTGAAAGAATTGCTTAATTGCGTCCGAACTCTTTTGGATCTTCCGTAATGTCACCATATTCCCACACACCCAAGTGATCTTTTCGGGCCAATGCTTCAGCAGCAACATATTCCTCGACCTGAAATAATAATTGCCTCATTTATATTATATGCTCTTCTTTTTCAATTTCAATAAATTATAATGAAAAAAAAAATCGAATTTGCTTAAAATTAGAGTTTGTTCTTGCTGAATTACGTAGCGCAAATCTAAATTCCGATTAACGAAAGCCATCAGCAAAAGTTATTCTACGAAACGTTAAAAGCACTGACACAGGAGCGTGAATTTACCACAACCCGTAACCAGCGACTCTAGTTTCGCCCTATGATTTTTTTTTCTCAACTCATCACATTTGCAAATGTGGAAAATTCAAGTTTTATTCTTGAAAAATAATTTAAAAAATTACCAATTTGGCGAGTTTGCGTTCACGACGTTTCTCCACTAAAAGAATTCCGTCGGCAACCAAAGCCTTGCCAATATCAGCGTTTGTTGCTGCGGGGTCTGTAAGTGATGCAAATGGCTGACCATTTATCCTGAAAATATTTCAACATTATTTTTCCTTAGTAAAGACGACTACAATTAAGCCCGGATTTGTTTGGTTCAAATTTGATTGCGTCTCATACTTGTATTCAACGTTAAGTAATAGATCGCGGTTGAGAGCATCTTGAGCGAAGTTCTTGGCTGCTTCGATTTTGTCATCTTCTTCGGGCGGGAGAAGGCAAAGTGCTAAACCATAATAATGAGCATATGGCTTGTCACTGATGAAGGCGGGTGGAAGCGAAGCTAGACGAGACGTTGGAACGGTCTGAAATTTGAATTCAATATTTCAAGTCAGAGAAGCGCAAATAGTTTATCATTCAATTAAAGTTAAATCGGAGGGGAATGTGTACGAAACAAATCATTTTTTATTGAAGAAAAAGGTATTCCCAAAGCAACATCTGTTCCAAACTCTAAACCGAATTTTCAGATGCGGTTGTACTTTTGAATTCACAAAAAAATATTGTGAACCAGTCGGCACAGATGCAACGATATTCGATTTTATAAGATTTTCGCAGACATTGTGTTGCTGAAGTTTTAAGACAAACAGATATGTTTGTATTGAATATTTTTTCATCAAAAGAAATACTGATTGGATTCGAATGCGGTTAATGTTGCAAGTTTATGACTCAAGCATTTTCTTTGAAACGAAAATGGATCTAAGGAACTTGCAAATGTAGGAAATTTTAGTCTATCCAATGGTTCTTACCTCTTTGTTGCCGTAGTCAACATATAGGATGGTGGCATTTTGACCTTGGACCTTTTCAACCTTGGCCCGGTACCATTCGTTGTCTTCAGAGAATTGAGCGGCACACAGATCGTTGCGTTTTGGAGTGAATGCGCCAGAAAGTGGGGGCGATTCTTGGAACTCTTTGCGAAGCTTGGACATGAGCGTTTCCAATTTGGCACCTTGATCGGTATGTTGTGCAAAGAAGTGGAGTTCAGGTGTAACTTCGGTCACAACAACCTTCTCATGATTGACTTTACGCTCGCCAACTTTTTCATCCTTATCCTCTTCTTTCACTTCTTCTTCCTTAACTTCTTCAACGTAGTTTGCCCAAATCTTCTTCTTGGCAGCTTTGGCGCTGTCTTCGGCCGTTTTCAATGCACGGTAGTATTCGGTTTTTTCGGCGCTGAAGTGAACAGTGGCCAAACCTTCTTCTACTAACGCAACAGACAGGTTGATATTGTTGTCGGTCCAAAGCCAACCAATGACGCTGGTGGCAGCCTTGTCAGTGGTGTCAATGTGCACACTAACATCTCGTTGCAGGATTTTTTCACGAACAAAGCTAAGAGCCTCGTCACCGAATGGTTCACCTTCTTGGGCTGGTGCGCCACCGACGGCGGGTCTTGATGAACGTGGACAAGAGATGCCGGCAAGCAAAAATGTAACCAAGCAACTGTCCTTTGGCAAAAACAAACGGAAGCGGGATCCACTGGCAATAAACTCAACAATGGCTTCGGTACGGAGGGCACGTTGCCATGACGGTAAATATTGTTGTCTGATGCGTGAATGATCAACGGTCAAATCGTTGATGCGCATTGGGGTTGCGTCTTTCTTGCCGTGCACTCCCTTATTAGATTTAATGGCTTGAGCTTCGGCAGTCAAGAGTTCATCGTAACGTGATGAACGTTGGTCATCATCTTGACGGTATCGAACAACAGTTGCCAAACCCTTTCCAACCAACAATTCAGCAATATTTCTATACGAAAAAAAAAAAATGCGACAACCAATGACCAATGAGAACTTTCATACAATTGACCAAATTCATAAATAATTTTTAAGAAAATATGGATTTGTGTCGTTAGTACACTGATTCAGCACAGAATTCCGCCATGTAAACCAAATTATAACGAATAATTTCTCTTTCACATCAATTGTCAACTTCAGAATACACAGATTTTCCAAATTTATTTCAAAATTGGTGTGAGACAAAAAGGTAACCAATGCAAAAGAGAATCAGATGCTTGCACTTACTGTCCTCCGATTGAAACGGTATAGCAGTATTTCTCTGGGAAGTTGTCGCGTGCAGGTGAAATATAGTCGAGGTTGCATTGAATTTTCTTTCCAATCAACTTTTTGCGCAGGAATTCGCGGCATTCATACATGAATGGGATGTCGTAGATTGGACGGAAGTTTTTCGGTCTTGGTGGAAGTTTACCTTCATCATCGGCAGCACTAGAATATAAAAAGATTTAATCTCCAAATATTCCATACGCTCGAAAATGTCAGTTTCAATTCTACTTACCGGCCAGCTTCTCGTGGTGGGCGAATGCTAGAGAAAAATACTTTTTTGATAGCGCCACTTTGTGTTTTCACACTGACGGCATCACCATTGTAAACTTCAACAACAGTGCCAGTGAAGTCTTTCTCTTTGCCGGTGAAATTCTGAGCATTCGATTGATATTCTTTCCACAATCTCAATCTCTTTTCTTTCGCCTGACGCTCGGCAGCTCGAAGTTTATCGGCGCCTAAAGAATTCATACAATTTAAAAACAACGAGTAGAATACCAATCAAGTGCAATGAATTGAAAAGATAAATAAATACAATTTATTTGTTAGTGACACAAACTATGCAATTCTCTAACGAACTGAATAGCTGTTCAACATTGAGAACAATGTTCAAGGGGTGAAATCATACAACTGCAAATATATACAATAATACGTTAGATCCTTAATTGATTTCGCATTATATTAAAAAATGAGCACTTTTCAAAATAACGAAAAGTTCTCGTTGCATGAATAATGCTGAGCATGATGGAAACAAGTGCTACATTAGATATGAACATTTACCTGATCTCATAAAAGCCATGCTCCAGTCGACGCATTTGGCAAAACCTTCGCGCAAGAGGGCTTCGGCGATATTTCCCTTGGGGAAGAGAATCGAACCCACAAAGTTGGTATTGTTAACCGATTCCAAGACAATTTTAACTTCACGTTGCAACAAGCGTGATTCGACAAAGTATCTTGCCTCTTCAGCGTAATCAACAACGACGCTGTGGTCGGGTTTACCCTCAGCATCCAATTTAAATCCCGGACACTAAATTTAACAAATTGAACACGTGATTAGTTTATTTATTCAGTAGAAATCGTTGGAATTTTTGTATGTCAGTTTATGTAGGTAGAAAGAAAAACTTACTCTGATGCCGGAAATCATCAACGTTATGTATTGGAAGTCTGGGACTAAGCTATGGTAATCTGGGTGTGGTACCAAGAATGCGCGCACGGTTGAACCATCTCGAACGTGTTCGATGATTGCGTTAACTGGCTTTCCAGCCAATTGATCGACAAAGTTTCGTTGGTTTTCTTGTGTCCATTTGATATTACGAACATGATCGGCTGACGATTGACTGCCCCATTTATTCTTGCCAGCTGCTTTAGCAGCTTCTTCGAAATCGAGCAATCGTTGCAATTCCGGTGATGGTGTACGAGCATTATCTTTGCGTACCGATACCAAACCCTCTTGCACCAAAAGTTCCGTTACATTTGTAGCGGTGGATGAATCACTTCCCAAGTAAATCACACCATAGTCGCGGTTAGCGTTTGGTGGGCGTTCACTATAGAAGTATACCTCTTCGCCAATCAATTTAGAGCGCAAAAATTCACGTGCTTCCCAAGCCCATGGTTCGTCTTTTGATTCATCGCTAATAAATTGTTTTGAAAAAAAAAAACCACAAAATAATAATTCATCACCGCCAATTCTATTTAGAAAAAAAAAAACTAGTATGTATTAACTTACTTTGCTCCAGCTGGACGACGAGCAAGTTTTGGTGCATAAACATTCGAGAAAGTGATTTGTTTCTCTGGTGGTGGACCACCTTTTGGGTAACCTCGAATTATCACGCTATCGCCTGATAATACCTACAAAATCAATTTAAATTCACCAAAAATATATTATTCATACGCTTTGGATTATAAGTGGAATGCAAAATCTTTTTTTTTTTTTTTTTTCTGAAAAAAACGTGTTCACAGCACTTCGAGCACAACGTTTGATGTATTCGTTGTTGCGTGTGTGTTGAAAGCACATGGTAAAATGATCTACTTTACTCTGACTTTGACTCTACTTGTTGGCACTTTTCACTATTCGTCCGGTTTTCGATAAGTTGAGGTTATGTTCAACTCACCTACATACACTACAAACTGAACTGTTATGATTTGTGCGAGTAAAGAGGATATTTTTCATTACGATTCGTTCATGTCACAATGTGTGTCTGTTTGTCTGTGCGTACACATATGTCCAACAGATGGCGTAGTGCTACTGTGGTTCAATGGAATAAAAAAAAAGGTTATGAATTTGTCTGATAAAATACATTGAACCGAAGATACAATCACGGCATGCATTGCACGTAAAGCGACAAAAAGGGGATCATGAAAACTATAAATATTTATGCATTACACGTGTTTGACTACAGATAAAATATCTCCTGCACATCATTGATGCGATCTTATGCTATTTTAATGCTATCTGCATCGATTTTCCACACCCGAATAATCTGCAGACATCCGATCAAATGCTTTTGGTTTCACGTCAAATATAAATGTGATCATTTGGCAAACTAAAATGTCTGCTATCTTCAATTCATATCACTTCTTCATTTACATGAATCGAATTTATGAATCGACTGGCAATTGATAAATTCTCCGCTGGTTTTGCATTCATTTCACTGCAGTTCGGTTCAATTGTGCTGAATAATACATTTATGTTCGCAGTGTTTACTAAGCATATTTAAAAACTCGCTAATGATAATAAATACAGAATGAAAATTTAATTTTGTTTCAAATCACACAATCTTGATTGTTGTGATGATTGGAAATATGAATTTTATCTGTTAAAAAAATTGACAAAACTCAAGAAACAAAATACTTTCAAGATTTAGGTTGCAGTTCCAAGTGACACGTTGCAAAGGTAGATTTGTTTTAGAAGAAAGCAAACTAGAGATTTTTGAAATCATTAACATAGATTAATTAGTTGCATAGATTTCGATAGTTGGTGCTGTTCATAGTTCATTCACTTTGAGGGGGCTTGCCCGTAAAATAGTCTCTATAAAAATATGGTTTCACCAACGGGACAAACAAATTGAATAACATTTGTCGATAAAATTTCATATTTATTAAAAATTATCATAGATGATGCTTTTGGTTTTTTTTTTTTCCTATTCAGAAAATACGATTATTATCTATAGATAAAGCATATCGTACATATTTTTTCCGTACAAAAAATGGAATGTCTTAGATGCCAGGTTGGCACATTCAAATTTGAACCAATCGCTCTCCTTCCTTTCTATGTGTATTATGTGTGAACACGTCAAAAGTATGATACACAAGCACGCACACACTACGAATCTACACTATCAAGATACAGACGAAAAGTTAATATGGAAAAGATTCCCTTATTTTTATAAATGAGAAAAAAAACCAAATTGTAAATTACACGGACAATTCAAAATCGTAATGAATACGATGCGGAAATGAATGGGCCAGCACATTTTAAAAAAAGCTTCAGCCGATTATCCGTTAAAGAAATCGAATCACCCAACAGAACGGCGGAACAAAAAAAAAAAACATATTCAATCAATGCAATGGATGTGATAATTTACCTGTTTAACAATGCCCTTTTTAAGAGCAACTGGAACTACGGCGGCGGGAGTGCTCATTATTTATTATGGAATGGATTTTATTAGCAAATTGTTCGATGATATTCTTTCGATTATTGCTGGTATTTATTTCGTATCACGTTTCGTAGTTGAAAAATATTTGTGCTAAACTAAACGAAAACACATTAATTATATTAATGCCGACACGACGAACTCAAAAAGAATGTCTAAGCTGAACGATCTGAATATAAAGTGAAATACAGCGGCACGTCACTACACACTGAACGCAAATCGCATTGACTTCTTACAACAACATGCCTTCGTTTCATTCAGTGGATTCACACATAAAAAGGAAAAGAGAAAAAAGTGGGAAATTTTGATGGTTTTTACTTTCGCCACAAATGCCGGCACTACCAGCGACATCTGTTACATGTTTGGATTGGACATTATTTTTGCATTTCTCTTTCTGTATTTCGTGCAAAATATGTTATAATTTGTAAGTATACATTTCATTGAAATTTCTGTACAATGGCCATAGTCATGCGTAAGATGGAAGTTTGATTGATCGAATTTGATTTTGATTTCACCATATGCCTTAAATATTCGACAGCATATGCCCGTTTAATCATTCGATTTCGTTCCAGTTTGTCATTTAGTGTGCATTTTAATCGTTAGAGTTCGGTTCAGTGCTTTAAATCTGACAAAATCATTGACCAACAACTGTTTACTCATTTTATTTTGGTTTTAAACGCAAAAAAATTGGCTTCCAGAATGGAAAAACATGGTAAATAAATACATCTACACAAAATAGTTATTAAAATTAATAAAAAAATTAATCTTTTCAGGTGGTGATGTCAACGAACTAAAGAGAAAAGTGGCTAATTTGCGTAAACAATGTACGTTGGAAATGTCATGATTCAAATTGAATTCTTCAATTGAGCTCAGAAACAAAAGAAAGAAAAAGTAATTTATTATTTGTTAACTTTTAGGCAACGAATACGACACATTGTTGAAACATTTTTCACTGCCACACATTGATTTGCCGCCAAATATGCAGAAAGATCTGGATGAACATGCAGAGTTCAAGAGAAAACTCAGTTTATATGCTATGGATTCATCATTTTTGTCGGATTTCTATTGTACAAACACTGAAAAGAATATTGGCAAAAAGATTGCGATACTGAAATCATTCGGATGTAATGAACAGATCGAAAAGCAGCTGATAAAGACAAAAAGTAATTTAGCAGAAGCTAAAAGGTATGTTTCAGTAAAAATTATTACAACGAAATTGAATCAATTGTAAATTGAGTATTCTTCTGTTTTAGCTTCGGCGATAGTATGAAAAATGAGCAAAAGTGTTATGGAAACATTGATCGATTGTTACGTGATGCCGATTGTCAAATTAAGGGATTCATTGAAAAGAAGGTGAGAATCAAATAGAAATAAAAGTGCCCATTTTCATTAACCGATCTTTTTATTGTTCCCTTCAAGCAAAAATTGAAAGAAAACATCACGATTGATATCGACCGAATTTTGATGAAATTGGAACAGCTTGTGCCAAAATGTGAAAAAACTTTTAAATAACATTATTCAAGCTGCATATTTTTTTTACAAATTTACAGTTTGATTAAAATCACAATGTTCAGCAAATTTATTGAATTTGTCCACTATGTAGTTCAGTGGGTCTTTGGAATTGTTTTCAATTAGTAAATTTGTATTTTTAGCTTTTTAATTGGAATTCTGAAATTTTAGCAATTTGATCAAATTAGATAAAGAAACGGTAGCCTTTATCAATGAGAAAATAAATAGTATTTGTGAGATTTACCGCCTATCTGCTGAAGTGTTCATGTGAAAAAATAGCAACCTATGCTTATATGAAGGTAATTCAAAACGATGAGGCTAATTGATCTTGCGTAGCGCAAATTTTAAAAATTGTTTCTGAATTGATTCGGATTTCTTGATTTTTAAGATGAATCGCTGTTCACACAGGGGTGTATCACAGTTTTACGCATTATTTTGATTGACAAATTGATTAAGATTTCTTCATTTGGTGAACAGCATTCAAACGTACCATTTTGATCACGAATGGACAAGAGAATATCTTGACATCTATTATTTTAAGGACTTTCCCCCAAAATTTTCAAAATTACCTTCGACTGTGCTTATTTTTGCTCGCAAAAACATCGTTTTCGAACAACGTAAGACAACTGTAAAAGAGAGTTTAGGCCAATTTAAAATTTTATTTGTTATATTATTTCTTTTAGAATAATATGTTTTTTGACGTTGGATCATAAATTTATTCGACTATCAAATTATTCTAATTTCAATTCTTCTGTGGCTGAACTTCTTTTTGTGATAAATAGCGTCTAAGCCAAAATCTCTGTAATAGCACAAAAAACCTCCTATTGATAATCAATCGAATAACCTAGGGGGATTTAACTACGTGAAAACTTGTAAAAAAATGATAAAAACGCGCACGAAATTGTTACATTCACCAGAGAACTTGCATGATTCCACTCAGTTGACAAGTTCCGTATTAAAACAACATGCGCGAACTTGTGCGAGTTCGTGTGCAAACATGAAGCTGGACAACGCGCACACATCAGTCGTTCCATTTATATCTGGATTAACTTTTTCTTCCAACACTTTCTCCAGCTCTTTAAAAATATTTCCTTTGTCCATTTTATAATTATATAAATCTTTGAACTTTTGGAAAGGATGTGAAAAATCTTTATACATGTAAACAACCGATTTTTAGTTTGAAACGCGTTTTAGTTGTCAAATAACAACTTGAAAAACGCGCAAAACCATAAACAAACTTGTGTATACTTGTGACCGTGCGCGTCAGTACGTCCAACGAACGCGTCGAACTTCCGCGAATCAAGCAAACTGGCAGAAAACATGCTGAACTCGTAAGAGTTAAATTCCCCTAGCGAATAACATTCACAAAACCATTGTGCTATCAATATACAGAATTGTTTTTCTTCTAAATAAAAAAAACATTAGATCTCTATATTTTTCGTCTGATTCCAAATTTATCGAAGAAATTAAAAAAATTGGTAGACTTTTGGTGGACTTTCCTTCGGTTTTTTAATAAACACTCAACTGACTTGTTTCTTTTAGTTTTCAACCAACCTTTTAATAATATTACTTAAGTTCTTCACATATAGATGACGCACTGAGAGGTGAATGTTCTTGGATTTACGTCCGATTCATGTCAGTTTGTTCAAATGAAAAAAAATATTTTCAAGTTCATTTTCGTTTGTGATTTCATGGTGATTTTCCTCGCTAACATTGAGCTTTGTACACTTTATTTTCATAAAGTTTACCGATGGCCATTGATTTGGACAGAAAAAAACAGATACAGTAAGTATTATAATCTAACAATGTAAATGGTCGATGAATTGAAAAAAAGACTTTGCAAATATGTTTTAAATGAGTCTCGAAACTATTATTTTTGATACATCAAATCTATAAGTGAGACGTAGAAGAACGCAAGTTTGTCCAACTTCGTAGCAATAAAGAGAAGTATGTTTCATTGCAACTAATAATGGTTAAAAGAATTTTTTTTTAGCGGGTCTTCGCGGTTTTGCACGGTTCCCGCGGAACTGATAAGAGAGAAGAGATAACTGTTTTCAACAATGTTATAGAAGGTCTCAAGTACTACAACTTTGCTCAAAACACCATGTTGTTATCGTTTATCAGTTCCGCAGAAACCGTGAAAATCCGCGGAGGCTAGACGGTATATCAACATAGTTTCTTTTAACGCAGATAGAATCAACAGAAAACAAGGTGTCCTACTTCCGTAAGGTAATCTTTTCTACACGAACCTACGACCCATAAATAACCCTAGATTTCGCAATTTTCGGCGTTCAAAAATCGAGAAAAAAAAAACTGGTTTTTAATGGATCAAAAAATCCGGGGTGATCGCAATACTTTTCTTACACAACATGTTATAGATATTCGTGTGGAAAAGTAACATAATTTCCTTTTCAAAAATATAAATCGAGAAAAAAAAACATACATTCTTTTACGTCTCACGAATAAAAATCACTTTCATTCAACAAATCCAAAAGAAAATCATCAGATGCAAAAACATTTTCGTCCTCTTTTGCTATGCGCTCAAAATGTTCCCCAATAATTCGCTGTTTCTTCAGTGGTCCAAAAAACGGATTACACAAAAAGTGCGAAATGAATTTATTGATTATTTTTAAGAACGAAATAAATTACGGAGGTCGCATGATGTCATTGATGCACTATATTCCGACGCATGGTAAACAATAAACGTAAGCAAAATAAATATTGAAATTGAATCGCATCGCCTTTATTTGTAAATATAAATGGTTTGATTGTAGATGCTCTACCTCTTGTGCTCCTTCTCTCTCTCACTGTCATTCTGTCCCCAGTCTTTCACTTGTTTTCTCCTCAAGCATGTCAGACATTTTCGTATTACCAATTGATTTCGAATGGCCTGAGCGCTGGAGCATTTTTCAATTGCAAACGGATTCTTGCCGAAAGCTGTATACTAAAATCAATATAGAGAAGCGCCACTCTCTCTCTCGTTCTCTCTCTGTTTCTCTCGCTCATCGACCCAATCGGCAATCTAACGGCATAACGGTAGTAGCAATGGCACACAACCGAAATGCTACACCGGCTGAATACCGATGAACGAATCTGTGTAAATTATTTTCTGCACGACTTCAACGCAAATAAAATCCATTGATTTTTAGATCTTGCAGGCACTGTCGTTTAGTCGATTCGAATTTTTCCTCTTTCTCTTTTCGTGCGTACTGAATTTTGGCTGCGATATTTCATATCTTGGGCACAATTCGAAGTAGATATTATGTGCAAAAGCATGCACGCTTTTCTCTTTCGCTCGCAATTTTATTTTGATTATTTACGTCGGTGTCGGATTCGTAGGTGAAATGCGACTTTGAAAATTTATGTTATCGATTTTGTGCAATCCATGGAACCCATGTTGTTTTCTAACAGATGAACGAAATCATCAATTCGATGTCGTTGTTGCCATTGCTGTACTGCTTCAGCCCCAGCGTCCTGACTATGCATGTTTGCCTGGTTTTGTGTGCATGGAACTTGTAGTAGCATTTTAGTTTTTCTTCTTTTTCTGAGTTACAACCTTCAACAGACGATCGACTACATGCAGTATCGATGTGGCCAAATGCTTCAATTTGTTTAGTATTCCTTCGTTTTTCATCTCACGTTGTGTTCTTTGTAAGATGGAAATGAAGAAGCAAAAATGAAATTGTTCGCCTTGCTTTTACAAATGGAAATTGAACGAGCGCACAATCTCTGCTCGATGAAATCAACAACAACAACAACAACAACAGAGGGCGGATAAAAAAAAGAAATACGCTCGATGTAATAATAAATGCTTACCGTTGAAATATAAAAGATTAAAGAATAAGTACAGCTCCGCAGGCATTATTTGGTTATTGGCGCTTACGAACGCATACTTGTTGTGCTTCAATGCTTCACCGTCTTATTTTCAGACACATTTTACGGTTTTTGGCCTCGAATCATCTGCAATATTGTAATTTGAAGGCAACTTCACGTTATTGCTCGTAACTATAAAATCCATCGTATTTTTTGCATTTAAATAAGAACCTAGAATAAAACACCAAAGATGATGAATTATCCGTGTAAGTTCAAGTCTTCAGCGAGTTTTTATCACTCATCAAAAATGAAATCCAAAAATCGTTTACATACTCGAATGATTGAAAAAAGAAAAAAAAATTGAAATGCCGTATCTAAAAAAAGGGTCGCAATAGAAAGGGTGGTAAGTGTTTCACTCGGAACGGTCTAATCATCTGGTTCTGCATATGCATCAAATAAGACTATTTCCTCTCGCTTCCCTTCAGAGAAATATACGTATATAATAACAATCATCGTCAATAAACCACTTTTGGTCGACAGTCGAAAATCAATGGCATGTTTGGGCTAGACACGTTGATGGATCATGAAATGTAAAGTGCCTCAATGCGTATCAAAATAACAAAACAAAAATGCACCTTACATCCACAATTACATTTGTACATTGTTTTGGGAATTGGCGAACAACAGCGATAATGCCGCCGCCAACAACCACAACACAATAAAACGATGAGAAGAGTCTCAGTTAATGCCCCTCTCCTGAAGAGACACCAAGTTGGAAAAGGGAAAGCAGAAAGAGCGATAAGAACACCCAATATATGTATGATAGAACAATATTTGCCACGAAAATGCGTTTAAAGCCAAACCAAATAAGTGTTATTTACGTTTGTTGAATATTGTGAACATGTGTTATTATTTTTATTGATTGTGCGCTTAACGTGTATAAATGCAACCGTGTATATACCGCATACTATACAAGGCATTTGGATGATTCAATTCCTCCCATGACCGTTAATTTAGTCATCACATATTCATTTTTAAGGCTTTTTACATTTGGTTTCGTGTGTTTGTGAGCGCACAGTGAATCAAGTGACATCGAAAATGGCTGCGCTAATTGATAGCGAAAAAAAAAAAATTTTTCTTGAAAACTAAGAAATATTTGATCCGGCAAGGATATTTTTTCGTTTTAACTCCCTTTTATACGGACATGTTTGCCACTGTATTTCCTTTTTTTACAAACTCCAAAAAGTAGCTGGAAGCGCATTTAACTTTAAAATATCGTCACCCTAAAAAGAATTTTGTCTATTTTACTGTTGATCCGTGAAAACAGTACAACTGTCATACACCACGAACAATTTGAATGTTGGTTGGTGATGTTGTTGTTGTTGTTGTTGTTTTTTTTTTTGTTATCATTCCTTTCCGTTCATTCAATACACTCGTTTATTTTTGAAGCAGCAATCCCAATCAAACCCATCTGTCTGCTTTTTCTTGCGCTCACAATTGCGGCGTGTTGGTTTATGCGCGGTGTTTGGCGCTCGGCCCTTGTTCAGGATTTCATACCGTTTGACATGTACGAAAGTGTGTAGAGTGAAGTTTTGTTTTTTTTTTCATTCTGACCAGCTATTTGTAAACTCGACAGTAATTTATTTCAATACGCATATTATAATTTCAACATTTTGAATTTGTAGTGGCACAAGCCAATGAGTTATTTTATTTCGACTACTTAACTTATGTTTCATAAATGCGCACCCAATTTATCAAAACATATGAAATAAACAACGCGTTTGCATGAAAATGATTTTGTTGTGTACTGGTGTGGGTTCTTTTTGATTTTGTTGTTGCTACTAGTATCTATGTTTTGAGTGATTGCAAAAATGTAACGAGCTGCTGATGAATAACAC